TTTCTCAAATTAATAATGACCTGCAGAATCATTACAAATAATGAGAGTAAATAATTACTACTACAGCCGTACAAAATTGAATTTGATTTTGCTATTATTATTGTCATCGATAAATTCTCTACACTATATCAATACTAAAATTGTCCTCTACATTAGTTAATAAGAAAATATTAATTTTAGTTCGATAAATTCTAGTTAAACCGAATATCGATAGTTTATACTTGTTCGCTATCCGTGTTTGTTTTGTCACTACGATACCTGTCTATTAAGTACGGTATTTACCTTCATACAACATTTAATTCGGTACTTCATATGCGTCATTTATCAAACTAATCTATTTTATTTAGACAAAACTATACCGTGGTAGTTAGTAGTTTATAGATATAACGGGGTGAAATAATTCTTAATTTTTGAACGATTAAAGTAACTGGCAACTAATAATTTTGAGATCTGGCTGAATCATGCGTGATAGATGTCGAAACGACGATAGAATGACGGATGACAGTTGTTTTTGAATGGTGGAATATGATTCGTTTTGTTATTATAATATTAATTGGTTATTCTTTGTAAATGTTTGCAATTCCATTAGTGTGTTGTGAAGTTATCAATTAAGATAGTGGTCAACTAAGGATAGTGTTTCTAATGTTACGCGATTGTTATTTCATTATCTTCGACAAACGCACGCTCTCAATGGAAGATTGTTACTGTGTATATGATCTACCTTTGGATTTGATTTCTACAAGCCGCTCTTTCACTTCGACAGATATTAAATGATATTTGTAGAAGACAAGTAAGTAAATTAGTGATTATATCTTACTAATGTTATAAATGCGATTGTTCAGATGGATGGATGTTTGTTTGAGTTTGTAGACACTGCTGATCTCGATGAAATTTGACATAAATGTAAAAGATACTCTGGAAGAACATATTGTACTCACTGTTTTTTTTATTCCCCGTAGACAGTGGCGGACTAATGCTAGCCTTTTATGATTTTCTAAAGCTTTTTTTTCTGATGTCATTGTTGGATCCCATTCGGATCATTCTTCAATATGATAAATCTTATTTGACTTTCACGAGTAATCGCTTTCCTTTTTCCTATAAGAATGTGGAATTACCTCATATGTACAGTACGCTCATGCGTTTTATAACTATAGACAGAGAAACTCCACGAAACTTTTATGAGAATAGTGTCTTATGCATTTTAATTAAGTCTTTTATTTAGAATGTAATTTGGTTCATGGCGGTGCTGTGTTTGCCCAGTTGGTGCTGTACAAACTCATACCTTAGACAATTGTTGTAACAGTAGATTTGACATCTTTTTCCTAACGGGTCAGGGTTGCCTGTTGTGAAAGTACTCAAAACTAAATCTATTATAATTCAATTTAATTTTAAGCAATGATGAAAGGCATAATATTAAAAAAATAACCGATAATCACGGAAATGTATAAAAACATCGTTTTGGTTTTTTACTATTTTTCCCCATTAGTAAAAAACAGTAGGGTTAAATAAAAACAAGAACGCATAGACGACGAACGCGCAAACAAACATTAGTAAGTATTTTTTTTATTTTTATATAGTCGGTGTATTGACTTGTAGAAAGTATCTAATGGAAATGTTGCCAGTATTTTGTATAAAAAAAAGTTACATCCATCAACACAATCAATAAAAGTAAGCATTGATTTCAATATACAATAAAAAAAGTACAAGTTATCTAAAACCAACTCTTCATTCCTTTAAACGTTCCACGTCAATTACTCCACGTAATGGTCCCACGTCGAGGTGTAAAGTAAATTTGTTTACATGATTGATATTTGTAATGCGATGCTACACGTATCAAAAACAAAAAGAAAAGTATGAAAGCATCAAGATTTATAGTTATACCGTTCGCCGACAGATTGCGTTCATGCATTCTAGAGGGCTATCACGAATATTTGTATGACAGTTGTGAGAACACATTCGTAACATCATCGACTAAATTTATTTGAGATTCGTTGTTGATCATTACACAGCACAAATCTAATACAAATTTTGTCGACAACGTTACGTAAATGTTCTCATGAACATTCGAAATAAGCCCTCGGCTATTGAGAAATTTATTAAGATTTGTATCGAACGAGCTACCGAAAGCATAGACAATGAAGATTAAAAACGTGTCAATAGACAAATTGAAACGTCAGTTGTGTTGATTTATTAAGACGCCGCAAGGACCGGAGGTCAAACTTCTGGAGAACACTATAATTTATTTATGTAATTGAGTTAGAAGTAAAAGCGATGGTTGTAAAGATTAACAAGTCAATATATTTATAGCAAAAATAATTGGCTTTTAATTTATTGAGTCAAGTTAGTCTTGAATTATGATCATTTTAATTTGGGTTAATTTGTTTTTATCTAATTATTGTTGGATTGAATTATGGTGTTATTCTGACATATGAATAATTTATTCATTTATGACTGCATTATTTAGGAAATATATTTTGCACTTATTAAACGTTGAAATGTTGTTTAGATACATTTACGTTAAAAATGATGTAGCTTAATTAGTAAACATTTCTTAGGCTCCTAATTAATTATGTAATTAAGTAAATTAAAGTTACTTAAATGGATTAAGAAATACATTTATTTTTAATAGCTTAAATTTACTTTCACTGACTACCGTATACTTGCAAACGTGTGTGTGGTTTTGATTTGACATGTTCCAAATTTGACATCTACAACGATCTGATATTACACACCAAACCGCAAATTAATATCGAATCGAACTCAATGTATTAATGCAGTAATCATTGACATGTATTTTTGTTTATTGTCATATTGTGTTGAGACTGAATAGTGTTGTAATAATAGTAATTAATATTATTTGGTTAGCTTTCGCCCGCGACTCCGTCCGGGTGGAATAAAAAAAACAAAAGCAAGTAGCCAATGTATTCTTCCAGACTATCCCCTACATATATGCCAAATTTCATCCATATTCGTTCAGCAGTTTTGGCTGACATCCATCCATCCAAACTTTCGCTTTTATTATTTATAATGTTAGTATGAAGTGATATTATTTTAATCATAATTGCACACGTAAAATAAGCAATTTTTTGCTATGTTTTGACCAATAATTAAACTAAAATGTATCATATTGTTTACTAATTGTAAACTGTAATTTCTTGTGAATTAACTTAAACGACGTTTTTTAATTGCTGAATAAATATGTTATGCATGAGTAAACATTTATTTTACATTTAGTTTTGAATAATCTGTATTATGGTCGCCTTGTAAGTTAAATATAAAATGTTAATGATGTGAAAACGAACTAACAGGTCTCCGTTCAAAATAGAATAAGTTTCAGGGAAATGATTAACATCAGGTGTTCGAGGTACGGAAATAGATCGTTCAGAATACCATTAACTTAGTTGTTGTTGTTGCACCTGTACGTAATTTGTGCACGACTGTACAAATCTCGATGTTACATTTGTACAGTCGTGTACAGTTTTTTTCAATTTTCTTTTTCACTTAAAAGCGTTCAATAAAGTACCAATTAAAACCAGTTAAACCTTAACTGCCAGTTATATAGTTTTATCAAAATGATTTTATTAGATGTTAACTGTTGTTAAGTTGTTAAAGAATGATTCTAGCTCAGCGTAATAAAATAAACGTTCGCAAAAACTTACATTTTAAAGCGTTTGAAAAAGATATCGAAACGCGTGACTCATTGCCAACGGTCGTGATTATTGAAAACAACTTAAATAAAACGACCGTTACATACACGCTACCTTTGACTATGAAGTACAGGATCTGTCAAGCTAGCGTATTCCTATCTATCAAACAAAAATAGTCCGATAAATTCTAAATTTGCTTGTTTGTTTTGTTACCTAAAAGTCGAATTTTTTAAAGTCAGTATGCGTTTATAAAGACGTAAAACGCATATGCACATATATGATTGTCATCTTCATACCATTTCATTACCAGAATTTAGTAAAACAGCGACTCCTTATCTAGTCCATTTCTGTATAGTCAAAGATTTCTAAAGGCCGACGATCTGGCTTCGACTCCATACAATTCTAAACCGAAATTAAAGTTTACGTAATAGAATTGTCATCGTCAAATATAATTTCCTGTGACAAACCTCATCTATGGATTTTACGGTAGCCTTTGTACTCAATCGATTATAATCGATGTCAATTCCTTTATAAAAAGTTGATTTATTTTTTAATGAAAATAGAAATCAAACTGCCTATAACTATCATGTCACCCAATCTTCAATTACCTGTACAAACAAATACACACAACTAGAAAAAAGTCTTGAAGAGATATCGTTATTCATTATAGAAAACTGGCTTTCGCTCGCGACTCCGTCTGCATGGAATTGAAAGAAACAAAAGTGAATAGCGTATGTATTCTTCCATACTATCCCCTACATCTATGCCAAATTTCATCTAAATCCGATAAGCCGTTTAGGCTACAAACTCTAACAAACATCCATCCATCTAAACTTTCATACTTATAATGTTAAGTAATAAGTAAGAAGTAAGATTAAGTATAGGCTTTGTGAAATAATACTCCAGTACGGGGAGAAATTTATATTTTTAAACTAATTACTACAAAAAAGCTCCAAAAAATACGACATCAATCTTAAAGATTAGAAAAACAAAACAAAAATCTACATTTTATAATCAATCTAATTATAAAACGATCATTGCAAAATATTTCGTAAGAACCATCTGGTTTGTTAAGGTGTTCTCAAAAGATGTTATATTTCACGAACGTGTGGGAAACCGAGTTGTTCAGATCAGACGGCCCACGGTTTACGAACAGAGTTATTTATTTTACATCACAAATTGATCGATCATTGGAAGCTGTAGGCTTTTTCTATTTCTATACAAGACACGCGCCGCAACGAACTTTAGACTATCCTTCGGCACGTACGATATCAATAGATGATTTATTTATTGGAGAAATTATTGATCATGAGTTATTATACTAGTGGTTGCTCGCGACTTCGTCCACGTTGACTTAAAAAATATAGTAGTACTCACTCATAGCGTAGCTTTTTAATGGTGAAAGAATTTTTGAAATGGGTCCAATTGTTTTTCAGTTATTTCAAAATATACAGAAATTCATAAATACAAATCTTTACTCATTATAATATTAGCATTAGTAGAGATATATATAAATCGATTTTTCTTATCAAGGAGTTTAGATAAAATAAGATGCTATGTATGAAATGTTGCTGTTTTCTCCACTATTATTGTATTAAGGTTTGTATTTTTGGATTTTAGTATGTATTGAAATAGCTCAAAAACTACTGGACCGATTTCAAAAAATCTTTAACTATTAAAAAGATACATCAGCCAGTAAAAAGTAAAGGGGCTCATCATGATCTTTAGTTAATAACGTAAAGTACATTAGTTCCGTGTTAAAAGAACTTTATTAGCGGCTCTATATTATTTCTCTGTACAATTACGATTGGAATATCTCACGTTTCTTGATAAAAAAAAAAATATTTCTTTCGTTACAGATCCAAAAGATGTGCTGTCAAAACTACGAAAATGTCTATTGAAGGAATCACTTAATTGAAGGACATGTGTAATTATCAGTTAAGTGTTGTGTTATAAGTGAAACGTTTGTGTCGGTGAAAGTACCTTCAAATATGGCGCTTCAAGGACCTCTTCTGTTCTACGTATTTACAACGTGAGTATCCCCGCGCGTGTATTGATTCTGTTTAACGTTATTAATCAAGATATTCATAGTTTAAAGTGGTTTGATATTAAGCTCTTTATCCTTAACAGGGTAAGCAGATACCAGTTACATGTCATGTAACCAAGAAGCTACTTGATAAGTTTCTTTTATAAAATAACTAGATTTCGCCCACGACTCTCCTCGTGGAATTATAAAAAGCAAAAGTGAGTAGCCTATATGTTCTTCCAGACTATCCTATGCATCTATACCAAATTTCATCGAAATCAGTTTAGCCGTTTAGGCTACAAACTCAACCAAACATCCATCCATCCATCTAAACTTTCGCATTTATATTAGTATGATACTATGATAAAACTTAATTAGTAAAGTTAAAAACCTAAAAGATTTAAATAAGTTTAGATATTTCTTTTCGACTGCCTAGATCTAAAAATACGCTCAGTTCCGACAGATGTAACTGAACAGTCCAACTGTGTGTTTAAGTAATATTTAATTGTCAGTTGAACTGTACAGTTAAAACTAAACTTCTGCAACAATTTAAAAATGAAGAATATGAGAATGAATAAATAGTATTTTAGACACACACAAATGTAACATTTTTTTACCTCAAGGAACTACTAAAATAAACAAAAACCTGCATATGTTTTTTAGCTGTAGAGTTACAATTAAATTAAATATCTCTGACCGCGTCTACTGTTTTAATTGTTGTGTTTTATTGAAATTTACAGCTCCACACTAAACATAAAACAAACCTATAAATTAGTCGTAAACACAGCTTTAAACGTATCATAATAGACTCGTATATCGCTCGTTTAAGATTCAAATTGACACCTTATAAGCCGTCCTTACAAAAGGTTTTATGTTATAATTTATTCTAAAGTAACGGGACATCATTATAAAGTTGCCAGGTAAAAGGATCGAATAAATCAGTTTTGACACATTTTAATTGGACGAAATATGTGACCTATTACATCACTATCTGTTATTATTCTATTTTATGAAGTTTTTCTTACAATTAACAAAAACAATTGAAGATCTCATTTTTTCAACACTGTAGAGATTGAAATAATAGAATAAGTTGCTATTTATCGATATAATTTAATAACGTATAAAGGGTCTAATTGAATACTTTAATGATGGGTATATTTATGACGGCTTAAGTGTAACTTTAAGGGCCGCTCCGCTCATGCACTTATTATAGAGGTGGAATAAGTATGCATGGTAAATCCTAGTTAACAAACAGGTCTTCAGTAAAATAGTATATCATTAAATATCGCATGACTAAAAGGCGAAGATATTATTTACGTATGTGTACTTGATAAATTAATAAGAATAAAAATAATACGTTGTATTTCACATAGTTTATAACGCTAAAAGCTCGTATAAAAGCAATAAACTATAATAAATTAAATACATAATGTCGCCATAATGGAACAGCAATTATTGCTCTATAAGATTCCAAATTTCGTAAACGCGTGGTTCGATATTTATGAATGGAGCGAGCATTCGCGAGACCGTGGGCGATCTGGATAGGGCTGTCAAAACTTGGAGTTTAATCCACATTTTTGGAGTTTGGATGATACATATTCGGACTACGGGTTTGTGTCTTCGAGTCAGAGAATAGATCGAAGTCACTAAATATTCTTGTTTTTTAATCGTCTGCAAAGAAGTAAAGGATGACGAGTGTTCGTTTTTGTTGTCAGTGTTCAGGTCTACGTTTAATAAAACGGTGTCAGCCCTAGATCTGGACTAGACCGTCGGATTCTGTGTCGCCAAGTGATACAAGTCTTATCTCTTACACAACTAGGCAGTAAAATGGTCATTTTGAGAATGTCAAAATACTGGTCTTTACCTTATTTATGGGTCTTGTTATTTGATAGTATCATGTATTGAAGATTGGGTGATATTAATAGCGAAATAATTAGTCATTATGATGGGAAAGAAATATCTCGTCAAAATAATGAATACTGAATCAAGCGGCAAAAAATGTATCCTATGTTACTCACAGATACATTACCTTCTTATGGTGAAAGAATTTTTGAAATCGACCCAGTAGTATTTACGTGAATCGAATACTTATAAAAATACAAATCTTTCCTGTTCATAATATTAATATAGCTAGATATCGATTTAAGATTAATCAAAAATATCCCACGTGGGTTTAGATTTCCTCTCATAATTAATTCAGTGGTCAATAGTTCGTAATCCGAGCGACTTTCTTGACCAACTGTCAGAATGAGCATTGCCATTTGCATAATTGTCATTAGTTTTAATTTATTTTGACCATACCAAGTCAAGATATTGCTAATTAAGTACCCAATGTACGTTAAACGATTAATCAATGTTCGTTAATGTATTTAACACCGGCTTCTGATATATTTAAAACTAAGATTACGTAGATTTAGGCTTATATTTATTGAAGCTTAAAATGTACTTGTACAATACGATTGCTATTGTACAATTAAATTGTTTGCTGTTAATATTCTAGTCTCTACTATTAAGTATAATGACACAAATAACAAATCTCAGAGATATAGATAATTTTAATTTGACCGTATTTTCGGAAAGGCGAAAACTTAACACAACAAACAGTTTATTCGGGGTGTTTCACGTTGGGTTGATCGGCCCACCGATCGCTCAACCGAATGGTATTTTCCCTTTAGGTAGATTTATTGTAGACATGATCTGCCCAATAAGAAAAAAACGATTGGGTTGAGCAATCGGTAGGTCGATTGGCCCAACGGGAAACATCCTTTATTCTGACTATTATTAATTCCACGGCTGTCATTCGCAATTCCAAACCTATCAGAGATGACAGCTAGAAGGAGGAAGAAAGTGTCACTGCATTTACGCTTTCGTTCCGCATCGTTTACATCTATTTAGTTCGAGTGCTTTATATTTTCATTTGCATAGCTAATGGCGTACAGAAGTTACTGGTCTACAATAAGCAAAAACAAATGATTATCAATAAACTGCTTTGCCTTATGTGTGAATAAAGTTGTATGAAATGTCTTTTTATCGTGGGTTTCTACAGTGGCAACACATACAAAAATATAGCCTTGCCTCTCAATTCCTTTAAAAAAAAAAAGTTATAGTTTTTTCGGTGCCGTGAAAACCTACGATATTCAATGATCAATATGTATTTAGACGGCCAGCAACTTACAAGATTGTCAATGAAAGTGGTCGTAAAATAAGCATATGTAAGCATGTGTTTTTAACCGGTACACTAAAAAGAAATATAAACATAATTTAATAAGCGGTAATTAAATAAAACGTGCTTTTCGGCTTGTAGCGGACGCTGGCGCCATCAAACGGATCGGTGATAAAATTATTAATTATAATAATTATAAAAGGCTCAAAATTGATTAATGATTGCAAGACGGACACCGTGCGGCATTTTATCGTCTTACATTCCTTTGGATGGTTGTATACAATATGTAGTTATTAAAAATTATATAGTTATATGTTGAAATAATTTCCCAATTCTTTAGTTCTTGCTCGTAGCGTATCTTCGACACCTATACTAATAATGTAAAAAGGAAAGATTTGTATTTTTGTATGTATTGAAATAACTCAAAAACTACTGGACCGATTTTTAAAAGTAACATAGACGACAATTTGACTATTCTTTTTAATTTAATGTGGACAAAGTCGCGAGCAACAGCTAGTAACTTAAACAGAAGATCGCTTATTCATTGGACAAAAATATGTTGAAGTTTTGTTATCCAAAATTTCGCATGTTTATACGTTATTTTAGACACCCTGTATACACCAAATACTCATCAACAATATTTATGACTATAAATAAAAGAGAAATGTATTTCATATTCATATTTTATACGCATGTTTTTTACGAACTTTAATTGTGAGCGTATAAAATTTTATAGTTGTACGTATGTACTCGTTATATTTAGCTCTGTTAGGGATTGGTAACTTTTTATTTTAGCATCGTTAAAAAATGCAGATTTAGAAACATTCTGATAGTGAAAGCTTATTTTTAACCGTATTTGGAGATAAGTTATGAAGAAAGGTATAAAACTTATAGACTAAAAATAATTATAAAATTCGAGAATACACTTTATAAATAAATGACCAAATCTGGCTGCATAGCTTCGTATTGTATGAATCATGTTTGTCGGAAGAACATAATGCTGTTAATTTGGTAAACGGCAGTGTTGTTCGATAGCCACAAAGGATTCAGTGTGAGCAGCTCTCGAAGGCACGGCTTTTATTCACATTCTTAATGCTGCTAATCCTTTTCGGGCGTTATTGGCCTGTCATGACAGCCATGTTGGGTGAACACGAGAAAGGAAATCTCGTAGTCATACTTGTTTTGTGTTCCGTTACTAATTGAGTCATTTTACGTAGTGTATGACTCTTATTGATGTAATTAAGGACTACCGACAAATACTAAGAGCCCGTCGCACCTAATTGTAAATTGTCTGATAACAATCCAACGTGTAATATATGTGGTAGAAATATCGAATTTTGTTACCTAATCTGACAGTGACTGTAATTTTAAGCTATCTGAACCTTTATCAGCTAGTGGTGGGACAGGCCCTATAACTTTTATTATAGCACGTTTTTATTTTTCATGAAGTTAATCGACAATACCACCATCTTTTAAAGGTGTAACAAAAATTAATTTATATAACAAATATTCTATTAGAGCGCGCGCACCTTTGGCTAAACTATCGCACAACTGTTTAGTCGCAATGTTATTCCTATGACTTTATATGGAGACGCGCACATTACTCGATTTTTGGTTGTTCGACACATTTGAATTGGCTGCGAAACAATCGAGAATCGCACAACTATTGTGCGATAGTTAAGTCAAAGGTGTGCGCCCGCCCTTTTCAGGATTTCCCACTTATCTGTCGCGGGTAAATCTTAAAAGATGTATTTGTCTCTGTCAGCATTTAATTATAATAAATTAAAACTTCATGTTTAAATCGTAGAATATTATTTAAAGATAAACAGCTATTCATCATTCC